ATGGAATCTAGGCTTCTCGTACAACTAATACAGCTTTGCCAAGATGCACGAGTTGTAACCACCCTTTTCTCCCTCCCCCTTCACCACATGGTCATTTTTACCTTTAATTTTGCTTCTCTTCAGAGTTTTCTTCTAACTTTCTCCTTGCCTTTCCCAGGGTTGCCAAAGCATGTGGATTCTTTAGGAAATTTCCAACGGGGTCCCCCAGATGTGTTGTGTTTAGATCTATGTCATCCTTTAGCTGCTCACAACGTAAGTTCAAGTCAGTAAAGCAAACTAAAATAAAAAGGTCTGAGCAGTGTGGTTGCTGTACTGCCCCAGTAACATGATTTCCTCTGAAACAAATGCTCCACTTCTGCCATCAAGCCAACAGCTTTTAACCTTTCTTAGAGGAGGGTTATACCTAAATTTGAACAGATTTTTCAGAAGAAATTTGGTCTCTAAGCTATATCAGCGTACAGTTTAAACTCAAATCCACGTTAAGTGCTCAAAATAGTAATAGATCTTCCTCTTTCAGGTTCATTTTTGAGACTCTCAAAGTATTTTCCTTTTCAGAGCTATGGTTGAATACAAGTTTACAGGAAGCAGTGCTCTCAAATCCAACATCAAGAGCCAAATCTTCCTACTGAAACTCAGTATGCTTGACCATTTCACTGGAGGGATGCTGATTTACACAGGTGAGACCCCAGGTTTAAGTGTTTTATTCTATCAGCAGACTCAGAGAAAGTGAGTTGTTTTGCTGAGACTTCATCTACAGTGCAGCAATGGTTATCAAAGCAAGGCAGATATTGGGATTTTCACTTTGCAAGACAAATATTGCACACATGTAGTTGTAACTCAGCATAGAAATGTTCTATCAAGATTCAACTCTGAAATTAAAAAGCACAATTACTCTTTTTTTTTCCATTGCAATAGGAAAACATGACATACTAAGAAATAAGAGCAATGCATTCTTCAGATTGCAAGCAGATTGCCCGTGGATTGCAAGCAAATAGAAGAAACGGAGTCACATTTCTGTAGGAAAATAAAGTCATTTCTAACCTAACGGATCGAGAGAACAAGACGCACTACAGGTGCTGTGCCACAGGTGTCACTCGCAAAAGTTCATCAGCAAAAGAGCATGACAAAAGGAAGGTATAGGCACTCAATTTCCATTTCATGTACAACCACCTTTGCAATGTAAACATCCTGGAGGAGCTGGAATATTTGGAATCATACATTATTCCCCTTTTTAAGCACACTCGGGGAAGTACCATTTGAAAATCAATGGCACAGTTTGGTCTTCAAAGTTTTCAGGAATTTCTGCAGGTTCTTCTGCTTAAACTTGCTAGATATTAAAAGTGAAGGGTCAAATCTGCAGGTGGTGTAAATAAGCACAGCTCTGTGAGAGCTTGAGCTTATGCTCATTTACATCACATGGAAATTATATTTCTCACTTCTGTGAGTAACTGCGCATGTATATATATATATGCATGAGTGTGTGGTGAATTCGTATTACATAGAAAGTGAATGCTTTGATCTGTCAAAATGAAGATATAAATATAAAACAGGAGACAGAATATGGAAATCATACATTCTGCATTTACTTTGAAAACTGAAAGTTATGGGGAAAGAAACATTGTTTATGTTCAAGGAGAAGCCGGTGATTTGCTTAAATAATCTAAAACCAAACCACCATCACATGAAAGATTTAACAGCTTCCTGTCATGGTTGACAGGCTCAAGCTATGACTTGCTAACTTTTATATAAACAAATAATTATGAGACAGTGACAGATCCATTGTGGATTCCTACTTTTACAATATAGACCCTGGTGCAGCAAAGCACTCAAGACAGTTAACTTTAAGCAACTGAATAGTCCCAGGGATTCTGGTGAACTCACTCACCTGCTTAAAATTAGCCATATATTTAGTTTGAGACGTGCATTTTAACTCCATCATTAATCAGCAAAGCACTTCAACCTGTGCATAAAGCAGCTGCTTTCTATAGGGTTTATACACATGCTTAAATCCTTTTCTGAAAGAGGACTGTGCGGTTTGATTCTTCAAGATTCTGATCATTTTAGATGTAAACCTGCAGAGCATTCAAACAGGCGAGTCGTACTCTGTGCACAAGAATCAGTGAGATCCCGTGTTTCTAAGTTAAACCACACTTCCAATCTTTACAGCATGTGGCAAGATTAAGCCAGGAGGAGAACGCTGAATATGGAGAATGTTGAAGTTAATCCCCAAAATATACTGTATTCACAATTTATTCCACAACCGCAGTTCAGCTTAAATTATTCAGTACAGTGCTTTCAACTGTAATACAAAAAAGATCTAATATGTTTTGTGAAAATGATGACGCCTCAGTAAAGGAGGGTTTCAGTGCCCTGCTCTGAGCTTTGCTGCAGCAAATAAATAGCATGCTTTGTGGGGAACCGGCAACCTCCGGACAAGCTTGTTTGCTACAGCGTTGGTGCAGAGCCAGCAGCAGCAGCTACGCTGCCGTGCACCAGCAGCTCACCACGGCCCCTCACCATCCAGAAGGGAGGACGTGGCTGGGCGATTGCTTTGTGCTGCCAAGGTGGCCAGGGCAGCTGCTCACCCACCCGCGCTCTGGAGGATGCTCGGGATGAGGGGCGATGGCCTCCTCGCTCTGGTACCACCCGGGAGGGAGGGAGTACCGGCTCCAGCCAAGGCCCAGCTTGCAGATTGCACCCTTGTAGCTACACAAGCATCTCCTTGCACCTCTTCTGGAGCATGTGCCTCTGCAGCTGCTAAAATCTTAAATCAGTAATAAAAATGAGGTGTTTTTACAATGCAAACAGTTGCACGCTTTCTCCTAAGTGTCTTTACAGATACCTAGGTGTCAACAGTCTTTTTGTGCAGCTATTTCTGCCTTAACTCATCGGTGTATTCATGGAAGGTGGGGAAAAAATCGGGGGAAGAAAAGTCTGGTTTCTCCTGTGGCCACAGGTTTATTAAGATAGTGATAAGAAAAAGTGTGACAAAAGAAGAAAGAAAAAATTCCCAAGCTTGTGTGGGCCAAGTCTCTAAACAGGATAAATCTAGTCATCTGACTAGAGCATTATTCATTTTTAATTAGTTTGAAGCAAATAGTGCAATTTGTGCCAAGCTGCAAAATTGCACTGTCTTCACAAGGAACCAGCTTGACAACAGACAAATTAATCCCTGCAAGAGTACTCCTGTAAGCTCACCATCAATATTCCTAATTTAAAAAGTAGTATGCTGAGTATGCTCTTCCATTAGACTGGTTTTGTATTGGTTTGACTTTTCTTCTCTACCACTTAAAATAGAAATGTAAAAATTTGGGGACTTTCATCATCCCGTAAATATACCTGTTGCATAATTATGCAAATAAAATTAGGGGCAGTCAACAGAATGTTTATTTATCCAAGAACCTGACCCAGACTGCCTGCTGACTTTCTTGGGATGTTAATGCATTTTTACCTCTGTTCAAACCCAATTTTTCACCTTAATGCAGGCAGTGGTTTTGCTGCACCGAGATCTACAGCCTTTTCCAAATTGCAGTGTTCTAATAAAGTGAAGAAATCCAGCTATAAAGGGAAATGACAACTTAGCTATAGAGATACATTTGAGAAAGCGCTAAATTATCTGAATTCTGAAAGACAGCGATGGTCCATTAGCAAGAGTGGGCAGGAGGGGCAGGGGGAAGAGCAGTGATCAGTTATCTTGGGCATTTGAACTACTATTTGGGAAGGAAACAACGTGGTTTGCTTTTGTTTTGATTTTTTGTCATAGGAAATTGCACTGGTAATATTTGCAGAACAAAGCATTACATTCACTATATGTGTTGCTCTATCTTTGTCCTCTGATTGTGTTTCACAGACAAAAAAAGAAAAAAAAGGCAATTTACAGCCATTTCTACCTGAATTATAGGCATGGCCATTAAAATGTTTCTCTTCACAAACTCAATGGAAAAAAAAGCAGAGCTGTGCTTATAGACATGAGCTTAGCCTTGTCATTCAGGGATATGACTTCAACAGTGAGCGTTTCATCCATTATGCAGCAAATTCCTTGAAATCTTAAAGAACGAGACGGCACTGGAGGGCACAGCCCCTGCAATGCCATTACCTCCTGCCCGCTAAAGCTCTTCCTTGTCTCCTTTCAGCCATTGGTTCCTCCCCATTTTCAGTCGTGTACACAAGACACAAAAAAGAGCTGATCAGTTTGTTTTAAAAGCTTTCCCCTTAACCTAAAACCTCTTGTTTATCAAAACATTTACATATATAATATATACGTCATATACATAATATATATATAATATATATTATATATATAACTGAACACAGAAGGTTAAATAAAAAGAGCCACACAGTGCAGCAGGCATGTAAAAACACAATTCAAGAATCCTGTGCTTAAACTTAGAAACTGTGTGGAAGTTTAAATCTTTGTTAGAAGGAAAAATTTCTCTCTTTTTCTGTTTATTGTTTGTTGGATTTTGGTTATGATTTACGTTTAAAACATTTGTTACTACAATGAAAATACTGGCTGTTAAATTCTCGAGTGAATTGCAATCTTGTCTATGAAACAGCGTTCTGGGGAAAGGAGAGATCTGAGCATGGTGAACTTTTCTAGCAAGAAATGGATAATTTTTTTGCTCTTTAAAAAAAAAAAAAAGGAACGGTAAATTAATAAGTAAGTGTTGAAATCCACGGAAAAAAAAGTACGGCCCTCAGTCCCAGTAACTGGTCATCTTTGGCACTTGAGAACGATCACAAGTAGTTTGCCTTTTTATTCATATAGAACAAAATTTACAAAGTCATTCATACATTTTTGTTTTTTGTTTTTTTACTGACTTCGAAAATTGGGAATATTCAAAATACACTTTTACCCCACTTCATTCTTTCATTATTTACAGGTATATACAAGAAAAATGTAAGAGTTTGTGGTTTGTGGTTTTTTTTTTTTTTTTTTTTTTGTTTCTTTTAAATTTTGTATTAAAAAGCTCTGCTGGTTGTTTTACTGTTTGTTTTCATCATATGGATGTTCCATGCGAGGGCTCCATTGCTTCTGGAATGACTCCCCCCGGCACAGACTGAAATGACATTGGGATCGGGGTTTTCACGGGGCTCTGACGAAATAGTCCTCCATTTGGCGACCTGTGTTTACACTGTATGGAGGGCATGGTGGCCGAGCTGCTCAGGGGCAGCGGCAGGGTGCTGCTGGAGGCAGCTGTGAGTGTTCTGCTGGCACCATGAGTTGTCTGTTCTGGTAAAAAGGTGGTGACAGAAAGTTGCGTGTTCTGGTATTCGCGTACCGGCTCCAGGGTCTGAGTTGGCTGCATGCCACCAATCTCCAAGGCTGAGATTTCAATGGACGCTGGAGAGATCTGCTTGTGGGCTATGTCTTCATCAATTAAACTGTTCATGCGTCTATGGACCTGCTCCAGGTTCACTTCTTTGTCCTAGTGAGGAAGAAACCAGAACAATCAGTCCAAACACAATCTCCAATGCCATCCGGCCCCCCTCCACTTCCTCTGCGTGACAGGAGTTGCTGTTCGCTCATTATATCGCTTCCATTTCACCTGTGCCTACGCAAAACCTCAAGGTCTGACCAACATCTCCAGCTGAGAAACACATGCTGAAGAACACACCAGCTCAGTCTCACCCTGCAAAAGCCCCCGATGTCAGTATCATCCTCCTTGGAGGTAAACCGATGGCTCTGGTTCAGCTAACAGCCGACACCAGGGACCAGCACATCCCACAAGTCCTTAGCTGAACTTGCCCAAGTCCAGAAAGAAAGCATATGGCAGGCAAACAAACTAGCTGGGACTCCAAATTCCAGCGAACAGCTTGTCACCTTGTAATCACAGGACAGCTCACCACCGTCTCATCTAGCTGCACTGAATTTTCTAAGGAACGTGTCAGTAAAACACTGTGCACAGCCTAGCTGACTTCAGGGTAGTTGCTTCGTGTGTCAAAATCTACTGGCCAGGGGTTGTGGTGGTAGCGAAGTCTTCCCTTCCCAGCAAGAATTCCTGGGTCACCTACGTGGCACAGACTATTGACTTACTAGAACAGCACTGAGAGAGACCTGTTCCACGAGCCCTGGAGAGGGGACCGCTCATTTGTGTTTTGAACAGTTGCATCACCAACTACAAACTGCCCGGCATCTTGACATGTCATCTGGTAAAAGTTTATATCTGTGGTCAGAGCTTGGGAAAGCAACACTGGTCTTCAGTGTTGCTTCAGATTTGCCCAGGGAGGTGGTTGAGTCCCCATCCCTGGAGGTATTTAAAAGATGGGTAGATGAGGTGCTTAGGGACATGGTTTAGTGGTGGGATGGCAGTGCTAGTTAACGGTTGGACGTGATGATCTTAAAGGTCTTTTCCAACCTAGAGGATTCTGATTCTATGATTCAGAAAATGCATCAGCATCTGGTGAGAATGCATTAGCTAAGGGTCCCAGAGTGGTCTCCTCAAGGGACTTTCAGCACTACTTTTTCAACATGGTTTAGCTTCCATGAGGAAATACAGCCAAAGAAATCGTCTTTAAAACCTGAAGCAGCACAGACCTACAATGGGCTGTTTATCACCTCAGTGCGGCATTCGGGATGTTCAGATTGGAAAGCAACAAAACTGGCAGGGTAAAGTCAACCACCTGGGATGCTGTATGACTGAATTTTAATAGCTAGCATTGTATTGCCAATAAAAAGGTATTACATTATATCATTTCTCTATATTTCATAAAGCGCAGCTATGATCTGCAGTTGTAGTTATTTGGTGCAAGTGTAACACACAGCAGACTAGCAGCAAAGCGTCTGTAAAAGCCCAACAATCCTGGAACTAAAGAAATTCCCTGCTCTGACAGAAACCTGTGATTACATTGGGAAGCCAGCAGAATCCCAGCCCAGGAAACAGGACTAACCTGAAACTTTTGCATTCCAGTAATCCCCAGTCGCCCACAGATCAATGTGTGCTTAGATGTTGGTTAAACCAAAGAGCAGCAGCCTTACAGATGCTCTGGTTCATGCAAAAAAAATAAGCTCTGGGAACAGAGAAGTATAAGATGCCACTGCCACCCATTCCTCATGATCTTTTGCCACTGGTGTTTAGGTGGAGCACAGAGAATTACAATATTATTCCGGTGGTAACCACTGCTCTGCAACTTCGCTTTCACCTGTAAAGTGACAATCAAGTCAACTCCTAAGCCCTCGATTCCTGTCAACATCAACTACAGATTTGATTCTAACCTTGTGATTTAACACCACTTCTATATTACTCAAGAACCGTTGGATTTGCTGATCTCTGCATGGATTTGGAAATGAATTAGTGTTACATGATGATGAACCCAAACCTGTGTCCTTAGCTTAGGGTAAATCCCTACTGATTTCAACTGGAGTACAGTTGTTCAACAGTTTCAGGGCTGAGCTGCACGTTGCACCACCTTTGCTAATCACAATCCACCAAACTCCCAAAGAAGCTCCCAGGAACCCTAGGGGATATCACCTTCCTCACCAGAGAAACAAACTATTTTTTACAAAATACTGCTTTTTCAGCCAAGTATTCTAATCAGGTAATTCTGAGTTAGAGAAAATCAATAGACAATAAACAAAAAATAAACTTTTGTGGCAAAAAGGGACCACAGAATACTTGATCAGATACCCACTGCAGCTGCTTTGAGTCCTTCTTGCCAACAGCCAGACCTGACCTGTCAGGCTCATGGTTTAATCTTAGCCAATACACCAAGCTGATGATAACACAGGGGCTCTTTCATAAACTCTGTAGCAAGGTAAATTAAGGATTTGTGGTATAATGGCCAGAGGATTACATGGATTTAATTCACTATTTTATTCATTTCTATTCCTTGAAGTAAAATTGTGGACTGGGGACATGAGAGGTGTTCATACATTATCCTCTGTTGGGAGTAAGGGCTCGACCTCTACGGGTGGGCTCCCTTTGCGCAGTCGCCTGGCCAAGTATGGCTGCATTTCTCAGCTGTCTGCCAACGAAAGCTCACTGCGAAGTTCTGCTTATCCACAAACTTCAGCTACCACCGCATATGATGATATCCGCGTCTAAGGAAGCTAACTCCCAGCAGCCCGTTATATAATGCTTCTTTAGGTACCCTGCACTATTTCTTTCTCAAAAATGCTGTTAGCTTCGATTTAGACTCCTAGGTTGGCATTGTAGTTATCTGGGACCCATATTCTTGCTAAACCCCTACTACAAAATCAAAAAAAAGTAGAAAACAGGTTAGAACCGAGCAAATACTAGAACAAATTTTCCTAAATAAGACTTTGGAGAAATATTCATGACTCATTTGCATTTTTCTGAGCTTTTGCCAACTACTACTGCTTTCTTCACATCATTTCAAGTGAAAATATACATCAACAGTTTCTTTGTGTTCTTTGATTACAAGCACATCCTCAGTGTGTTCCATCCTGCTTTGCTACAGGAACAAATATAATGTGACTGGGATAACTAGCCAAGCCAGAGGGGAAGGTAGAGTTTCAATATTTGCAATGTGCAGTCAGTAGCTGTTTGCAGAGGAAAAATACAGCTGTGAATGAGGTGTGCTCTGTACTTGGAGCATCAGTGCACAAAAGGTCATAAAATTCAAAGGATGAATTAACCCCAGTTATATATTTAGCTTAGCTCTTTTAAGATGTAACATGAAGAACCACAGATGGGATGCTCTTAAAACACATCTCCTGGTCCAGACCAGAGGGGTTATTAAGGACCACCTCAGTTGGAACGTTTCCCTCCGCTTGCCCTCTTTTCTTCTGCTGTACACAGTCCAGCTCTGGGACAGCATTCCTTGGAAAATGGTGGATTTGCAGTTGCTTATGCTTCACAATATAAACCTATGTTACACTGTGCTAAAGTTTTCATTATCAGGAAAAAAGAAAAACGTAATTCCTGCACGCAGACATCACATTTTATCTACTACAGAATACTTCATTAAGTAAGTAGAGAAGTAAATGCTTAGGACTTTTTTAAGAGGTAGGGGTGGGGATTTCATTTGCCTACTTCTAACTCTTTTTTCAGCATTAAGGACAACTTTCTGGCCTTATTAAGATCAGGGAAAACTTTTTAAAGGCTTCCAAGAGCCCAGAAGTTCACATTATTCCATCTTTTTGTTGTTAAAATAAAATGTTCGTAAAGGTTAAGGAAAACAACTCTGTCTCTGAGGAACAATAAAATCATGTTTTTAAAGGTTCTTCCCTTTTTCTTTGTCTTATTAGATGAAGAGTGGTTAAATAACTAAATGTCAAGACTTGTATGAAACTATCTTAATACTGAGCGATTTTTCAAATGCTTTAAAAAAAAAAAAAGACAAAAATTAGAAACCATTGAAAGATTAGTTTGTTGCTACATACTAGAAGGCTGCCTTGAATCCCAAGATTTCCAGGACTAAGGGGTCTGGGATAGCTTTATTTGACAAGCCAAGCTTTCAGAATTTGCAAATTCTGTAAACCTCATCTTTCTTTTCCTTTATTGTTCTCCTGGAAAATTCAGTAACAAAGCATTTGTTACTGAGAAGTAACAAGGTAAATGGGAAAAGGGTTAAATGGTAATAAAGCCAGAAAAACAAATCTTAGAAATTACGATGTTTTGCTCCCTTGTCAGCTCAGTGTTTTCCTTTATTTTTAGTTCTATAATTCTCATTAAATATGAGCCATTTGTTATAATTTTTAAGCACTTACTTAGGTTGTATTTTTTTTCATCTCCTGAGGCTCTGTCACCTTAATTGTGAAATGGCAATGTAGCATTGCAAAAGATTTTCAGGCTTTCTGATGCTGTGACTGTTCTCTATTTTTGTATTTCTCTCTGACAAAATGAACAAATTAAAATTAATGAATTACTATAAATTAATAAATTGAAGCTTGGAGCTAGGGAATGGCAGAGGCACCAGACTTGGCAGCTGGATGGAAAAACCAGGAGCCATCGTGGAGGCTGGTGTGCCGGTTTGCTAGCCCAGAGGCTCCCCTTCCCCAAAGGGCAGCCCCTCGGGGGAAGCCTTAGTGCTTCTCTTCACAAAGGTTCCCGGCTTCAGCTCCACTTAGCTCCATTAGGTCTCTTCAAGAGCTGAATGAACGAGCTCCAAACAGAATACTTCAGTCTCTGTGACAGACACATTACCAAAGGTTTCTTCTCTTTCTTTTTTGTCCTTAATATGCAAAACTTCGTTAGTATTATAAATGTCACATCTCAGCTGTTTCATGCCAACTCAACTTCACTTTTCATATCTAGCTACATTAGATAAAAGTATACACTTGTGTAGGAGATCAAATATTTTTCCTTTGCTACCTTCACAATTCTATTTTCAATATTAATGTTGTAGTCCAAAGAGATCAGTTGAAGAAATCAATCAGTGAAGGGAAGAAAAAACATCACGTGCAAGGAAAATGAATTACAAACACAGGCTTATCCTCCTCAAGCTTAAGGAAACCAAACTAACC